ATTTTGGGCAATTTTGGCCAAAAAGCATTGACTATAGCCCATGGATTTGATCACTTTTGGGTGTTTTTTTTCAATTGCCTTAAAAATTAATTCAATTTTGAAAAAGGGTCTATTTTGGCCCATTTTTGGCACAAAGCATTGACTATAGCCCATGTTTTTGCTCGATTTTGGGTGTTTTTAGGTATTTTTTGACTTCCCTTCAAAATTCACTCTTTTTGGAAAAGGGTCTATTTTGGACTATTTTGGCCAAAAAGCATGGACTATAGCCCATGGTTTTGATTGATCTTTGGCGTTTTTTCAATTCCCTTCAAAATTCACTCTTTTTGGAAAAGGGTCTATTTAGGGCAATTTTGGCCAAAAAGCATGGACTATAGCCCATGGTTTTGCTTGATTTTGGGTGTTTTTAGGTCTTTTTTCACTTTCCTCAAAAATTATCCCATGTTGAAAAAGGGTCAATTTTGCCCTAGTTTGGGCAAAAAGCATGGATTATAGCCCATGGTTTTGATCACTTTTGGGTGTTTTTTCAATTCCCTTATCAATTATCCCAATTTGAAAAAGGGTCATTTTTGGCCCATTTTGGCCAAAAAGAATGGACTATAGCCCATGGTTTTGCTCGATTTTGGGTGTTTTTAGGTATTTTTTGACTTCCCTTCAAAATTCACTCTTTTTGGAGAAGGGCCTATTTGGGCCTATTTTTGGCCAAAAAGAATGGAGTATAGCCCATGGTTTTACTCGATTTTGAGTATTTTTAGATATTTTTTGACTTCTGTTTAAAATTCACTTTTTTTGGAAAAGGGTGAATTTTGGCCTATTTTGGCCAAAAAGCGTGGACTATAGCCCATTGTTTTTCTCGATTTTGGGTGTTTTTAGGTATTTTTTGATACACCAGTTGCGCTTAAGGGATTCGAGTTCTGCTTTGGGTTTGTCTTTGGACCCAACGAACCAACAAGGCAAACATCAATATAAAGTATATGAGGTTACCTCTGATCACAGTTCTGTGCCTATGAAGTAAAAGGTGCTTTTGCTTGTGCGCATGGGCATCTATCGTTTTATCATAGGTCATGTGACTTTTAATTTTTGCACCATACTCTCACCTCCTGCGTTTAATACACACCAGCATCCTTTTACATTTTCATGTTTTTGCTAAAGCCATCTCTTCCATTCTTAACTTGTAACAACCTCATTCCTGATGCTCTGCAACCTGCGCTGTTGTATGATAATTTTCTCCCATATCGATAGTTAACCCGGCACCACCCGGAGTCCATGCAAAACTATTGTTCTCAAGACCAAAACTATATTCACCATTCCGTAATTTAATAAGTTACATCGGATTGCCGAAATTAGTCATGATATTGGCGATGATGTAAGGTTTCTGGAATATAAAAGTCGTAAAACGCAATGGCCCAACAGCCAAACGACCCAACAGCCCAGTGACCCAACAGCCCAACAAACACAACAGCCCAGCGACCCAGCGACCCAACAGCCCAACAGCCCAGCGACCCAACAGCCCAACGAACAAACAGTCCAATAGCCCAACGAACAAACAGCCCAACGAACAAATAGCCCAACGAACAAATAGCCCAATAGCCCAATAAATAGCCCAATAAATAGCCCAATAGCCCAATAAGTAGCCCAATA